TTGCATTTCTTTTATGGCTAACCCTCATTACTCGGCTAGCGACATGGTATGTTTCTCCACGTGTTTCATGGTCAATTGGGCTGGCCCGAGCGATCTAATGACATCAATCACACATATCAGTTGATTACCCAAAAAATCAGTAAGTTAACCACAAAGATGATGTTAGCTAATGGCAGGTGAATGAGAGGAAATTATATCTCATTTAGATGAGTTCTAGGCACTCCCAAAAATATATGGCTTTTAAATCTTAATTGGATGAAATACTTGAAGGCCCCATTTGGTAGGGGTGGTTTTTCAGCCCAAAAGAGGTTTGAGATTGGAGCGATTTGGTGATCCTCTTTCCTGCATGCCTTGTTTGGTAGAGGAGGTTCTAGGAGGTTTACATAGGAATGTCCCTGAGGGAGCAAAAACTCAAAAAATCAACGATCAACATTTGGTAAACCGGTTTTGCCAGGGCCAATCACCATGTTGCCGGGAGGAAAAGTGGGTGCATAAATAAACGTGTACGTGTTGACTCTACCAAGCCTTTTCAATGCGGACACCCTCTTGATAGTACGGATTTCTTACAACTCAAATACCCCTGAAAAAGAATCGCTGGAAATAACCATCTCCACTCTATAACACCGAGGGGAATAAATCGTCTTTTGCCATATGATAGGATATCTGAAATGCTCAATACACATGATTAGTCCGCAAAAAGCATTGTCATCAATCACCAAAGCCACTAAAAGAGAAATACGCCCTAACACCGTGCCACATACCCTTGTGGCTGGCTGGTGGACCCCCTGTGGCATATTTTTGCTCCGTAATTCGTCATATATTCCAAAAGAATTCTCAAAAAATCCACGCTTCATTTTGAGCTCCGGAGAATTGTTTCTCTATTGTTGCTATTTTAGGTCCAGAATTCCAGCTGTCAGCAATCTACCTTTCTTGATATAACTTGCATCTTAAGAGATAAAAGGCATTAGAATTTGCACCATAATGTGAAATATATTATTAGAGTAAGTTGAATTACAGTAGAAAATAATGATGTCAAATGGACATATCAGTAGGCTAGGCAAATTTCCCATCAAATACCTTGGGCTCCCCATTTCAAACAAACACTTCTCAATCCTCGGATGGAAGCCGCTATATTCCAAGGTGGCAAATAGGGTGTGCCCCTGGAGCGACAAATTTATGTCCTCCAGGGCTAGGCCCACGCTCACTACTCGAGTTTGTCCTCTCTACCCATCTTCTCTATAGGCATTTTTTTCTCACGGATGGGGCTCACACGAAGTTAGACACGCCCAGGTCCTGGTTCTTTTGGGAAGGAGTAGGACCCAAACATAAGTATCACATGATAAACTGGGTAGCGGGTTGTAGACCGAGTATTGAGGCTTGGGGGTCACCAATTTGAAAAGTTATGAACGTTGCCCTCCTTTCAAAGTGGATTCGAAAGCTTGTGATCAATGCGGCAAGCATGTGGGCCGAGTTACTGGAAACTAAGTACTTCCCACTCGGAACATTTTTTTAAGTTGTGTCACATGAGTTGCCTTTCTGGAATGAGATCCACGTGGTGAAACCTGCGTTCCCTCTAGGCGCGAGGTTTCAGGCCCGCGATTGCTAATCTATCAAGTTCTGGCATGATGCTTGTCTAGATGCGGAACCGCTCTGGGTGAATCATCGGGCATTATTCATTGCGGCCACTGACCCAGATACCATGGTTGTCGAGGCACGTGGTGTCTCCCCGCAGGCGATATGGTTTCGTCGTGAGCTAACGCCGGTTGAGGAGAAGGAGTGGGACTCCTTGCGCGCTCGTCTTAGTACCATCGTCTTAGATCCGTCACCGGATGAGGTTTCTTGGAAAATTTCCGCTTCTCGACAATTTTTGGTTACATCTATGTCGAGAAGTTGACGGAAAGTCATGCACTAGATGTGGCTTGGCGACTTTGGATGAAGGCGATGTCACTTAAAGTGAAATCTTTTCATGGCAGTTGTTTAGGAACCTCTTCCAACCGCTGTCAACATGGCCAAGAGGCAGGGGCCAGCCACGGGCACTTGTGCGATCTGTGCTGTTCCGGAAGATACTAATCATGTCTTTTTTCACTGCCATCTCGCACATTTTGCGTGGGGTGTAGTGCGAGAAACTTTCAGCCAAGCATGGAATCCTCTCTTGGGTAGGTACCTGCTAGAGATTCCCCGTGCACAGCGGGGTGCCAACAAAGGTATTCTGTGTCACTGTGTGAGTGCAATGTTGTGGGCATTGTGGCACATCCATAATCAAATCACTATCGAATCCGTTTTTCTCATTACATCTGATTAATGTTATCTTCAAATGAACCGCAAAAAAAGAGTTATAAATGGAATATACTTTTGCAGCAAGGCACCGTTGGGGGAAACAACGGGACGTTGAACACGTGATGCAACATATTTAGTATGTGGAGCATTAGCCGTCCTCTTCATAGCATTCCGTGAGTAGAGCATCAGTCGTCCTCTTCATTGTAGGAAAGGGGTTTCTCTAGTTCCGAAGTCTGTGTGCTCTTTCTTTTGGGCCAAGAGCCATGTATTAGATTGTTTCTGTTGTTAAGGTATATTGATTCGGTGAACTATGTTAATTTAAAGCCGGAGGCTATTTGCATCTTTTTCGGTCTCAAAATGATGGGTTGTTAGTTGTAGAATATTACTCTCGTCAGACTTGAACTTAACGAAAAAGGAAATGTTCATAGGATTTTCTTCCCCTTCCCCTTTCCCCGGCGTAATTTTTCTACCGCGTGTACAACCCCATAATAATAGTGTTTCTCCAAAAGAAAACTCTGTTGTTCCGCGTCTTGGACTAACTCATCTTGGGGTGGGCTTACTACTTATATGCTTTCAGCAGTTATCCTCTCCGCACTTGGCTACCCAGCATTTACCGTAGGCACGATAACTGGTACACTAAAGGTGCGTCCTTCCCGGTCCTATCGTACTAGGGAAAGGTCCTCTCAATGCTCTAACGCCCACACCGGATATGGACCGAACTGTCTCACGACATTCTGAACCCAGCTCCAAAGGTGTATTTTGAGTATACCGAATTAGTATAGATATCCTTCCTATGGCACAACAATCTGGTTTTGCCATAAGCATTAGCTCTCCCTGAAAAGGAGGTGATCCAGCCGCACCTTCCAGTACGGCTACCTTGTTACGACTTCACTCTAGTCGCAAGCCTAGAAAAGGTCAGGATTTTTCATTTTGATGAGCCTCGCTTTGAGGAATTCATGAAATAATCCATTTTCATGGAATAATGAATTAAGGAAGAAAGGATATGAATCTACCGCTTACAAGTCAGAATAAAAAGAAAACAATTTAGCATCTTTGGTACAATCTATATTTTCGTGAAATGGATCATAATAAAATGGATTTTAGGTATATAGGGCTTTTGTTTAGCTTGAGACTAAATCATCGTGGCTCTACTATGAATCTAAGGTTTTAATTGAACTGATTTATAGGATCTCAACAAGATAATCGCGGAAGCTTGGTTTGATAAAGCTGCTGAATATTGGAAACAAGCTATAGCGCTTACTCCGAGAAATTATATTGAAGCATTCTTACTTTGTCCGTGTCAACAAACAATTCGAAATACCTCAACTTTTTCAGAACAGGTCCGAGTCAAATAGCAATGATTTGAAGCACTTCTTTTTCCATTACACTATTTCAGAAACCTAGAACACTCAAAAGGCACGCTGTGGCACCACTCAAGCCCCCACCTCCGAAAAGTTGGATCGCTCGAGGCGATCAAGGAGGCGACTAGGAGTCCCTTGCGCGCCGCTGGTGACGCTGCCGGTTCCCTCTCTCTCCGTCGGCCGCTCTGGCGGCGGGAGGGAGGGGGAATCTCGGGTCTGTTCACTAGGTTGGTGTGTGGTAGGGTTAGGATTGAGGGAGACGCTGCCGAGGCCGTTGCGGTGGTGTCGCGTCGGAATAAGTTTCTCCGGGCTCCGTTCGCGGTCAGGCGAGGCTTTTGCCTTCGTCTAGGAGCCAGCGGTGTTGGGGATCCCCGGATCTCGTCGAGGTCGCGGGCTATGATGGTTGGAGGTCCATCAGCACTGGCCGTTTGGATCCTCGGATGGGCGATGGAGGTAGGGAGACGAAAACCTTTCTTCTTCCTTGTTGGTACGATTTGCTGTTGCTGTTCTTCTCCTTCCTCTGCGCTGATGCTGGTGGGAGATCCTGCTTTGCTCGGGCGGATGGCCCGGCTACGGTGCTGGACCGGTCGGATGACTCGAGTTCTCTTCCTTCCGGAAGGGACACTTTTCGCGGTACTCAAAGCCAAAGATGGTGACGATTGTTGCAGGTGTGTTGGATTAATGTTCATGCCTTCTCAGCGCTGGTGTTAAGAAAGGAGGAAGCAGCGTGGCGGCAATTGTACCGTGGTCGAAGATGATGACCTGTTTGCGACTGGTTGCATATTCTTCTGCTGCAGGAGTCTTCTCTCAAGATTCAGGAATAATGACACAAGGCTCCAGAGATCTTCTTGTGTTATGGTTGTCTTAGGGTACTCTAAGTGTTTATGGTCCTTTGTTTTTGTGTTTCAGTGTGCTTGTAAGAGTCACTTACTCTATACTGATTCGTGATTTGAATGAACAATTTCTTAAAAAAAATGCCCCCACCTCCGACACTCACCGGTCATGAGCATCACGGCATCACCGGCACCCCAAAAAAGCGAAGCACAGCAGTGAACACACCCACCTAAAACCCCAAACCCCAAGCCCCCTCCTCCTCTTCCCGTCTCTCCTTAGATTGCCCGCTCGCGGCCGAAACGCCAGCCCCATTCCTCGGCGTGGAGCCCCGAATTCCCAATCTTAAAACCCCCCATCGCTCGTCGCCCACACGAGGAATTAGAAGCGGCCGGGGAGGAGGAAGGGGGCAGGTAAGGCCGTGGAGGAGGCGGAGGGGCCACTGCTGCGTGTCCGATCGTTGCCAACGGGGGTGGAGAATAGGAGGATGGGGGCGACGAACGGGGACGATCAGGTAGCAAACCCTCTCCCATGGCTGTCTCCGACGAAAAGGCGCAGGGATGCCGCAGCGGCGCGGCCGCCGGCAAGGCCGCCTCTCCCGTGAAGCCCAACAGCGGCGCTGTGATGGAGGAGATCACGGATTCCCCGTCCACCACCGCTAAGGCCTCGTCAAAAGGTATATACGGTATGATCGCTAACCGTTATCCCCTCCCTCTGCTGTGTTGCTCTGCATCTGCTGTGCGTTCACTTGGATCGCGCTGCTACTCGTGTGCCCGTTGCTGTATTTGGTAATACGAGATACCTGGTGCCGTGAATTTGTGACCATTTCTGAACTTGATGGGGGTTCTCCTCCAGGAAATGTTAAGGGGGACTGACGGGTGAAGTGCCTTGATACATTATAAAGGTGCATGTGCACTAATCTTCTGTTGATCGCGATCACTCTCATGATATCCGATTCGTGCGTGAAGATATGTTGCATACGGTTGCTACAATAATTTTCTTGGGCGTGAATCATAGAACTTAAAACACGGATCTTAAAGTGGTACCATAGTTCAGTTTGAATTTATCGTTGGGTCTGTGGTTGTGTTGTTGAAGCATTGCAAACAATGCCTGGTGGTTGTAGATCCATGGATGCACTTGACATGTAAATTACTAGTTCAGATAATTGTGTGATAACCCGAGGACAATGTTGTTTGTTTGCTGCAACATGCTGTAAAATAGCGTTAGTACAATAGCCCATATAGAATGTTGCTGCACACCCGGAGCTCACTGAAGGTTGGTGATGGGGCTAGGCTGGGAACATATTTATTTTTCTTTCCAGATTTATCTTGTGATAGAGCAGTGAGCGTTTGGAATAGGGATATTTTGCTAAATGTTTACCCAGCAACTATCTACTTGGATGATCCTTGCAGTAATTACTAATTTTCTTTTTGGAAATATGCGATATGGCTAGGAAGAGGACTATCTGGATTGAGATAATGATGTATTTTTATGAAGGCACGAGAACCGTTTTGTCTATTGGACATATGGCCATTATGGGAACACTAGAATGTTTTGCATGGAAGGTCGCACCAAATGATACACAAATGACTCAAACACATGCCGTGCACATAGTGAGTGTGGGGCCCGTAGCATGGTGTTGGACCAAAGCACCGGCGTATTGATAGTCATGGTTGCTTAATTAGACGAGGCCCTATGGATTAGTCTTTTCATAATTACCTACCTGCTGACATGCATTGAGATTGTGCTTGAGAAACATAACTGCGCACCTGCTTCAAGTTGTAGCTTTCTGATGTGTGGTTAAAATACCTAATTTTCTTGAAAAGGAAACCATGTAATGATCACAAAATTAATTTATGGTTTTCATCTTATCCATGTTTAGCATGAATCTTATCAACAGATAATTGGAATAGAAATCAGGACTGCCTTTTAACCGAGGAGCTTGACTTTGTTATACTTGTGATTATAAATTCAAAACTATATCTGTCATTTCACTGGTTTCCACTATGTTTGGATTATCCCTGAAAAGACCAAATTCTATATTTATTGGAGGGAATTGGTAATGTGCAGCCATTACTTGGATCTGATGATCGAATTAGGCTATGCCACAATTGAACTATTATGCCAATGTAGTCAATAGAAAATGGCTTTTAGCTTGCGACTGGCAATAGTATTCTTCTCTCACATTGTTCCTTGTTACCCTACCTTAACTTTGCACCGAGCAACTTGAAATTGGATGAATGAGAGTTGAAAGGGGATTAAGGAAGGAAGATGTGGATTACTGTTGGATACTATAGTATTTAAGATTTGCATTGATACGATGACATGTATGATGCGCCCATTTAGCTTATCATTTGTTGCAGTTAGAGGTCTACAGTTTTTTGACGCTTACAGGTCTACAGACAGCGGCGGAG